CTAATCTTATTTTGCTGTGTCAAATTCTGTCACCTTTTTATCAATCTTTCTACCCATTTTCTCATATACTTATCAGTTCATTCACCATCCACCTACATTTCTTTAAATCTTTATCTAAACCTAGCCTTGTATGTGTCACTATGATAATTTTGCTATATACACAATCAATACAAGAACTCTGGTGGTGTACACTGCTAACCTAAAGGTCAAATCTCTCTGACAATTGAAATCTACCAACCCATATAGAAAAGAAAGATGGGCAATCTCTTTACATGCAATGTACAGTATCGGAAACACACTGAGGGCCAGCTATGAGTCTATTCCAGACTCTATCACAAATGTTATAATGTAACAGTAAAATATATTTAAATTTAAAGTTACATATATTTAAATGTAATAATATTAAAAATAAATATTTAACTCTATTAAAACTCACACTAATTTAATAAGATCAGTACTGGCATACCTCCCATTTTGCAGATGATACTCAAAGTACTTAAGGTCATCTAGCAATTAAGTGTTGAGTAGGATTTGAATACTGGAAATTTTTCAATGGCACACATAGGGCAGGGTTCAGGGCTCCTGTTCATAAGGTCCCTAAGAGTCGTACTCAGTACAACAGCCCTTAACAACCACCACAACAAATTATATCAAACTGGCAAGTTTTGTGGGGTAGTTGCAAGGAGCTATGACGCCAACCCCAAGGCACATGGTTCATCTGTCAGTTGCTTTGCATCAGAAAGATGGGCCATCTCAGTCCGTGGAATTTATTGACTTTGAAAACCTGCTGGAGAGTTGACCATGAGTCAATGCTGACTCAGCAGTTCAGGATAACAAAAGCATGACATAAAATGAATGCAATATTTTTTCTTCATGGAGGCAAGGGAGGACAATAAAAGTTATTGTTTTTTCTGAGGTTGCCAGAAGTCCAGGCTGGGTTTAGAAGGGGTCGTGGTACTAGGGATATTGTTGCTGATGTTAGATGGATCTTAGCTGAATACCAGAAGAATGTCTATCTGTGTTTCATTGATTATGCAAAGGCATTTGACTGCGTGGATCCTAACAAACTGTGGCTGACTCTGAGAAGAATGGGAATCCCAGAACATTTAATCGTGCTAATGCGAAACCTATACTTGGACCAAGAGGCAGTCGTTAGACCGGGCAGGGCAACACTGCATGGTTCAAAATTGGGAAGGGTGTACGTCAGGGATGTGTCCTGTCTCCATACCTTTTCAACCTGTATGCAGAGCAGATTATCCGAGAGGCTGGGCTCTATCAGGAGAAGTGTGGCATTAGGGTTGGTGGAAGATCTATCAACAATCTGCGTTATGCAGATGACACAACCCTGCTCGCGGAAACTGAGGAGGACCTCATGCACTTACTGTAGAGGGTCAAGGACTGCAGCCTTCAATATGGACTGAGGCTCAATGTCCAGAAGACAAAAATTCTCACCACTGGACCAATCGGTAGCATCAGGATGGATGGCGAAGAAATTGAGATTGTTCACAGCTTCAGTTTGCTCGGCTCCACGGTCAACACTCTTGGCACCAGTAGCCAGGAAATAAAAAAACGTATTGCGATGGGAAAGTCTGCAGTAAGGGACCTCTCTAAAGTACTCAAGAGCAACGGTGTCTCTCTGGAGACTAAGATGCACCTGATACAGGCCATGGTTTTTGCAGTCAGAGAGTTGGACAATGACTAGGGAGGATAGAAGGAATATTGATGCGTTTGGGCTGTGGTGCTGGAGAAGAGTACTGAATGTACCATGAACTGCCAAGAAAACAAATAGATTAACCCTAGAGAGGGTTAAACCAGGCTGCTCCTTGGAGGCAAGAATTCTGGGGCTTTGCCTGACATACTTTGGACATGTTGTAAGGAGAGACAGGTCTTTGGAGAGGGACATCATGCTGGGCAGAGTGGAGGGACAGCACAGGAGGGGAAGACCCTCTATGAGGTGGTTTGATTCAGTGACTGGGGTAATCGTGATGGGTGAGTCGGAGGCAATGAGATTGGCACAGGATAGAGCAGGGTTTAGGGCTGTTGTACATAGGGTTGCTATGAGTCGCAAATGACTCGACGTCACATAACAACAACAGAACTATGAAGATTTATCACCTAGGTAAAAGAGCCAGCTGTTTTCATCCATAAACATGAAATCAGACTATCAGATATGTTCACATATAAATAGCTTTAACATTGGGACTACTTTTTAAAAAAATAACGTTGGCAAGCTAAAATTTAATCAGAGAGCAAGAAGATAAACTGACAAGGTGGCCAGATAAACTGCATGACAGATCATTTCACTGGTCTGTTGAATATGGGAAGAGTCTTTGCAAAGGCTGAGTTCTATACAAAAGTTAGTTAAGTAGACCCTGATTGGCAGCAGTAGATAAGATGAGAAGTGGAGAACATAATCATGTCATTCAGCTTTGAAATAATGAGAAATATTTCACCTACTAAGAATGTATTCCTTTGAGTTGTGGTGGTTTTGGAGAACAATGTTCAACATAGAACCATGGAAAACAAATAGATCTGTCTTATAGAGGGTGAAACTGAGCTGCTGAGGTAAAGATTTTGAGACTCTCTCACATACTTTGGACATGTTTCCAGGAGGGACCTGTCTTTGGAGGAGGACGTTATTTTTGGAAGAGTGAAAAGACAGTGCAGGAGAGGAAGACCCCAGATGAGATGGATTGACACAGTAACTGAGGTAATGAGGGTAGGTGTGTCAGAGAGAGTGAGATTGGCTCAGGATAGAGCAGGGTTCAGAACTAGTATGCCTAGTATCACTACAAGTGGTAGGTGACTTGATAGCATATAACAATAACAACATAGAAAGGTACTGACCTTCCACCTTTCCAAGCATGATGTCCTTTCCCAAGGCATATAGCCTCTCCTGGCAACCTGCCCAATGTATGTGAGATGAAGCTTCACTATCTTTCCCTGCAAGGAACACCCTGGCTGCATGTTTGTTTTTTTGGCAGTCCATGGGACACTAAGTACTCTTCTCCAACACCATAATTCAGAGAGGAAGACCCTCAGCTAGGTAGATTGACACAGTGGCTGGAGCAAGATGATGAAGTATATCAGAGATGGTAGGACAGGGTTCATATCCGTTGCTCATGGAGTCCCTACAAATTGTACTCAACTGGATGACATTTAACAATATAAAAGCACATAGGATGAAACAAAACTGAACAAGTTAGTTTTGTCTCTGTGTATCAGGGAAGGAAGAATGCAGGTACTAGGACATTATGAGTAAACAACAAATCACTTTCCATGGTGAGGGTGAAGAGCAGAAGGGGCACTATGTATATCATATCAAAAGTCCTGGTGCCATAGTGGTGAAGTATTCAGCTGTTAACTGAAATGGTAGCAGTCTGATATCCCAGGTGCAAGGAGGAAGAAAAGAACAGAGGCCCTGCTCCTTTTTGGACTATAGCCTGGAAATGTTATGAAGTAATTCTGCTCTGTCATCTACAGTCAATATGAGTTGGAATCAATTCAGCTCAATGGCACACAACAGTATATACCGTCACATTCTCCTCCTCATAACAGAATAGAAAGTAATCAGCTTAGGTTCCTTGGTATAGACTTTCAACTAATGATACTCATAACTTGTTTCTTGTATTGAAACCTGCATCTCACCCCTTACTTTTCCAATGAAATAGCAATAAAACCTGGGGAGGGGGATGTGCTAAGAACTCATAATATTGAAGAAGCCTTGCCAGAGGCAATAAAAGCCAGAGAAGCTAGAAAGCAGTTGAATTTTGAATGAAATGTTAGGCAATATAGAACTTTCATTCCAAAGGACTACCCTTAATAACACTACAGCTTCAGGGACTAAGTTAAAATAACATATTGAGGCACTCAATATTTTCAAAGGGTTGAGTCTTCAGAAGGGTAAAGAAATCACCCAGAAGCACCTGTGCCCCTCCAAATTACGTATTTGACTATTTTTTTTCCCCAGCTACCAAGCAGTCAGCATTTTAAGTAGTTTCACTATATGATCCTGAACCTTGTGTGCCAAAGGAAAAAAAAATGTTATAAAATCATGCTTGATGTCTCTGTGTTAGTGTTGAGTAAAATAAGCCCTCATTTTTCCTAAAAATTTTCCAAATTGTGCCTGGAAGGCATTAGTGTTACCCTGTTCTAATGGAGTTCCTACACTGCTCTCAGTATGATCAACTGAAGTTCCCAGTCTTAACTAAATGGCATGTGTATGTGAAGTTGGTAAAGTGGGAGGTACTCCTTGCAAAGAAATACTGTTACCCTTTCCAGTATCAGAGCCTCAAGCATTCTTTTAAAATGTGCAAGGGAAATTAACCTATTTTCACTCCACCCTTCCAAATTCCAACTTCTACTGTGGCTCAAAACTTCAGGCTCCTAAAACAACCCAAAAGCAGTCTCCTCTGAGAAAAATGATGTGTATCTTTCTGGTTGCAGTTCTCTGACACACTCAATTTCATGAGCTATATACCCAAAGTATGAGACACAAGTCAAAACACACTGTTTACCTTTCTTGAATTTGAGAAAATAACATTTTCCTGGTTTTTTCCTAGGCAATATCTACATGGGAGCCTCAACATACAAGTATTATGATTAACATTCTTGACTGGTGTGTGAAAATCTAGCAAAAGAATTTGGTTTTTGAAGAAATTGGAAAACATATCCGGTAAGAAGGAACTCTAAAAGAGGCACTTTAAATTCATGATTAAGTGACTGAATCCTACAGATATTATCCATTAAAGTTTGGACTCTAAGAGCAAAGAAAATATTATCAGTAATTCCAGAATTGGCTAACAAAATGGTAAGACCTTCCTCAATCACTGGAACTTTCTATCAGAAGGCTTCCTGAGCAGAAGTCTGTCTCCACCCTCCATTCCCAGGGAATAAGACAACAGTCTCCTTAACGGAGAATGTGTATAGCAGCACATTCACTGGTGTCGCTTCATATGCGACTGCACAAATTAGAAGAAAGGGAGCAGACCTTCCTTTACCTGCACAGGCCTTGCCGTCGTAGGTCTCGCACACCCACTCGTGGCACTCACAGAGAGGCCCGAAGTACATGCCGGGTTCGGCCACATGACAGATGCAGACGCCACAGTCGCAGCGGCCCCGGCCGTGGCACAGCGCACTCCCAGGGGGCTGCCCGGGGGCCCGGCAGTGGCGCTCAGACTCTGCCCGGGACAGTCTGCAGGCAGCACCAGACCAGCTTCTGCATGGGGCGACACACACCATAGTCAAGCCACGTTTGAGGCAATGACAATCTGCCAGGCCTAGTTCCAGCCCAACTGGACGCTTGGAACCTTCGGGATAGAACAGGCCCTCTTTTCTCTGAAGCCTCTAGGACTGTTACTCCAGTCGGTAGGCACCACCCATCTATGTCACTCAAAAACTCATTTGGATGACTATCCTGCTGTTATTAGGTGTTGTCAAGTTGATTTCAACTCAGAGTGATCTCCTAGAATAGAACTGCTCTCTAAGATTTTCTAGGTGTAAGGACTATCTAGCTAACTGAAAGGTCAGTGGTTCAAACCTCTCAACCACTCATTGGGGGGCAATCAAGGTTTACAACATTGGAAGCTTAACCGGACAGTTCTTTGCTGACCTGTAGCATAGCTATGAGTCAGAGCTCTTTAGATAAGCCATGAGTTGATTAGGGTGGCAATCTTTATTTAAAGGAGCCCTGGTAGTGAAATGGTTAAGTGTGGATTACTGATAGAAAGATGTACAGTTATAATCTATTAAAAGCTCTTGGAGAGAGAGATATGGCAGATGTGTCCATAAAAACTGACAACTTTGAAAACTCCAAGTGGGTGCTTGTACTCTGCCATTTAGGATTGCTATGAGTCAGAATCAACTTCAGGACAAAAAGTTAGGTTTAATCATGACAGTAACAGATTAGTAGATCTATGTCCTATGGAGCTTTTTAGTACATTTAAAATGCCAGTTTTGTGGTTAGCATTTGAGTGCTTAACTACTGCACCACTAGGGCTCCTTACACAGTGACCTGGCCTCCTATTTTCGGTGGACATCAGTGATCTGTCCGACTCGGGTGATTTGTCATAAGATCATTTATGTGCACGTTAAACACAGATTAATCAAAAAATATGACACTTGGCTGACTTATCACTTCAGTCCTCTTAAAAATATCTCATTGTTATTCATGGCCAGAGGCCAATTATATTATGAAAAAGAAGACGTTATTATAAAGAAATAGCTGTTCATATTGTGATAGTAAAGGTTATTTTTTTCTCCATAATTTTCATTAAGATGTTTCTTAGTGAAACTTCTTTAGTGAAAAAATTCCACTACTGTGAATTCAAAGTCTCTTTCAAAATGTAACATAAGCCTAGCTTAATGCTGTTGATGAAAAGGAATAATATTGTCTTATAGTTTAAAAGAATTTATAAATATACACAGGGCAACCTTCAACTCATGATAGTAACTTCTGGCATGTGTTTACATAGGTGGAAATGGTATATTTATTAAATCACATTTTTCTGAAGAGAAAGTTAAAGGATAGAAGTTAAACACTAAATAAAGAAAAGGAATGGGAACAGGTTGAAAACTCTTTATCTCCTGTCCAACTTAGTAACTGCTTTTGGCTTCCAGCAGCCACCCTGCAAGTTTGAGCCCTGCCACACACAAGTCTTGGGCAGGTCTGCCTTTAAGAATAACAAACCCAACTTACCTCAGAGATGGCGAGAAGCTTTGAGGAACAGCTGACAATCCAGCAAAGAGAAGAGAGGATGCCAGCAGCAAGAAGTTTCGGGAGCCTGAGGAACACATGCTGGGGCTGTGGAGGGAGAGCTGTGCTTTTGCACACTGGGGCTCAGGAGGCAATGGGAAGGAGGGGTGACGGTGACGCTAGCAGATGTCCAGGCAGACAGACCCACGGACATCCAGGCTTGCTGGTCCAGAGCTCTGCTCAGAGCTGCAAGTGCTTTGATGAGCTGCCTGGGAGGATTTGGGCAGCGGCACCGCTTTGGGCGGGGTACTGGTGCCAAACCCCTCCAGAGGAGAGTCTAAGCAGGGAAGTAATTAGAAACAGTTGTACAAGCAGATGGTTTATTTTGACATCAGAAAGTTTCCTGTTCACAGATTTGAGAAAACCAGTTCTTTCTTCAAGTATAGGCACCAGAAATATTGAGGGAATATTTAGGTAAACGAATATTAAAGGGAATGTTAAATAATCCTCCAGATGGAAGGAGAAAGGAGACGACCAAGGTAGTTGAAATAGACAGTAGGTAAGGATGTATGTCCACCACATACTTTTTAAGGAGATGTGCTATTTGAGACAGAAGTTGTGGAGGGGGAAGCAAAACTGACAAATAGAAATCATTTTATTACTTTAAAAAAATTTCTCCTTGCTTTCTTTTTGCTCTGAGTTTCTCTTAAGTTTTTAAGAAGCATGTCATGCTTCTATTTGCTTAGGCCAGTAGCTTATCACACAGCATTTTTCTTGACTTGGAACTTTCAAATAGTTGTCCTAAATTTACCCCAGTCCTCTCCATTCAGCCAATATGAAGAGAGAAGAAGAAGCATTCTGTATCAAAATAAACTGTACAGTCTAAATTGTCCTGAGAAATAACCAATCTTATGTTTTCCTCCTCTATGTCTGGCCACTTGGTACATTTTATCTGTAATGGTGACAATAACTATATATTCATTTGTTCATTTAAAAAGGTAGGTTATGCATTTACCTGGTTCCAGGTTTGGCACCAGCTGGAGGGAATAATAAATATAATTTAGGAAACATAATTCCTGCCATCTGAGTCCAGTAGGCTAATAAAACACTAACCACACAAATAAACATTAAAGAATATAAACTATTATATGTTGTTGTTGTATACAATTTAAAAAAAAAAAGGAGTGTGTACCGTAGAGTTGGAAGTAACCCATAGCTGACCCTCTGGTGGGTTTTCAGAGGCAGTTAATTGCATGGGAGGAGATTGCCCATCCTTCTCTTATGGAACAGCTGGTAGCCTTGAACCACATGCCTTTGGGAATGCAATGCAGCTTCTTGCCAGTTGGCCAATAAATGAAATAAAAAAGGAGTGCAGTTATCTCCACATCAGTTACAGTTGTCACTGTTGTTAGATGTCATCAAATCCAGTGCAACTCATAGGAATACTGTGAACAACAAAAGTTTCCCGTTATGGACCATATTCACAATTTCCAATATGTTTATACCCATTGGAATAGTCACCATGTCAATCGCCTTATGGATCTTCTCTTTGCCAACCCCCTAATTTACTCAGCGTAATATTCTTTACCAATAACTAACACCTCCTAAAAACATGCTCAATGTATGTGAGACAAGGTTGCCTCATCCTCTCCTTGAAGAAGCACTCTGGATGTACTTCCTTTAGGACAGATTTGGTTATTCTTTAAGGCTGTACAAACCCTTTTAAATACCAACACCACATTTCAAAGGAATTGATTCCTCTTCAAGTCTACTTTATTCACTGTCCAACTTTCAGACGCACAGTGAACAAGTGAAAATATCATGGCATGGGTCAGGGGCACCTTAGTCTTTAAACAGACATCTTTGACCTTTATCGCTTAAAGAATTCCTTGACAGCAGATTTGCTCAGTGAAACATGTCATTTGACCTCTTGTTTGCTGTTAGTTTATGCGTTGATTGTGGTTCCAAGTAACATGAAATCACTGACAACTTTAATCATTTGAAGAAAGAGTGAGAGAGATTAGATTATATGGAGACAACTAATCAAAGGGATGATGTTTGAGATAATACTGAAAAGTAGAATGTAATTGGGATTAGAGACATGGAATAAAGTTGAAAGGCATTGTTATGTCCCCTTAAAAGATAAAGAAACTGAAAACAGAAGCAAATCACTTGCCCAACTTTCACAGGAAGCAAAGTGGTATGTGAGAAGCCAAAGCCCACACAATGTCCTTTACATTCTGTGGTCATATGAGGAAAGTGTTTAACAAGGTTATGATTACCTGGGAAGAAGAAAAACATCCTTTCTTTTCCATCAGAAGATCATATTAGGTGCAATGGTTCATCATAAAATAGACTTTGAACAAAGAAGGCTCATGCAGGCCTGAGAAACTGTGACCTTAAAATTAGAGATGGATTGTAATAGGATGAGATTTCCCTCCTCACATGTGTAAACAGCTTCTAAGGAAAACGGCTAGCCCTAGTAATAGCCAGTTGAGCAAGAAGGCAGATGAAAGTCCTCTAAACATAGTCCACCCACTTTCTCCTCCTACTGTGTGTGACTACCTCAGTCTACGCAGTTAAGCCTTCTCAAAGTGGCTGACTCCTTGTCAGTTCTTGAGTCCAGGTGTATGCAACCTGGAAGGGGTTCTACCAGCAAAAAGACAAGAGTAGGAACAGGTGCTCACGTGATAGGATTGGTGTTAAAGGAAGTCTGAACAGAATTCCAGCATCGTGGGTACCAAGGGTGTGTTTTGGAAGGACAGACACAGGCTCTGTGCTGGCAAGTTCATGATCCAGAGGAATATTGAACCACTATGGGGAAGGATGTTGCTGAAAAAGGAGTGATGAAATCAGTAGTTCTCAAATTCTTGTCTCCAGACCAGCAACATCTGCACCAGCTATAGAAATGCAAGTTGTCAAACTCCATCTCAGATTTCCCGAATCACACTGTAAATGCTAACAAATTCCCAGATGATCTACTTGCATCTCATGGTTTTAGAAGCCTGGCAAGGCACGAGGTCTGAAGCTGAGGCTGTAGACGTTAGGAGCATCTAAAGATGAAAAGTGCATGAACTCACTCCCAAGATAGCTTAGCACAGTGTGCCTTCCTACACTTCATCCCAGTATCTAGACAATTTTCTGGCACAAAGAATATGGACATAGTATAAGGGAAAAATAAGTTTTATAGCTAACCTGTGAACTTGTAGTGAAAACATAAGAAATTTCATAAATTATCTGACTTATTATTGCACATTTTCTGAAGATAAAAAGTATCATTATCAAATAAGAACTGACAATTCAAAGAATAATCTGATGAATTAAAAAAAAATTAACTCCTGCAAGTACTATTTTGGAATAATCTTTAAACTTTAAACCGAATATATCCCCTACAGTCTCGTTGAAATAAGACAATAGATTGTTGTTGTTGTTACGTGCCGTCGAGTCGCTTGCGACTCATAGCGACCTTATGTACAACAGCCCTAAACTCCCCTCTGTCCTGTGCCAATCGCACTGTCTCTGACACTCTCATCCGAATTATCCCAGTCACTGAATCAATCCACCTCATAGAGGGCCTTCCTCTCCTGCGCTGTCCCTCCACCCTCCCAAGCATGATGTCCTTCTCCAAGGAC